TCCTCTGCTCCATCTGGTGGAAGATGCAGATAAATTCGGGAAATCTGTAATGAAATAAAACCCACAGCCTCTCTACCTGGGCTGCTTCTTGCCAGTACACAGATCTGCAGAATTGTAAAGTTGGAAGGGAATACAAGGGTCATCTAGTCCAACCCCCTGCAATGCAGGAATATTTTTGCCCAACATGGAGCTGAGCCCCACAACACTGAGATTAAGAGTCTCATGCTCTACCAACCAACCTATCCTGCAGGAAATAACAAGCTGTAGAAGAGTGCATAGGTGCATGGGAAGTGATTAGAGCCCATTGGTTAACTGAAATCTGGTGTTCTTCCTTACAACCTTGTAGAAACTTCTCAAGTGCAAGCAGAGGCACTGTAGGTCACCTGAAGAGGTTCTGTGAGATGGGTTCTGCTTGAGGATCACCTATAGAAAGATCAGGGTTTTAAAGGAATGTTCCTTCCTTCATAATAGTCTCAGCTCCATCAAAGGAGATAAAAATTCCCTTACTTCACATCATCAATCTGGGGTGTCCCTTAGCAATGAAAGTTGGATCTAGCAACTCTAACAGACCTGCTGGAATACTTATAGGATTCATGCATAGAAAGGGGGCAGTAGTGGTACAGATATGACCCACATACACTGTCACTTTTGAATATAGTATGCATAAAACGGCATGTATGAAGCCGAGAGTGTCACTGGAGTATTCTCAGTGGAGAAACAATCTCTACTCACTATCTGCTTGATCTTACTTCTTTTCACTCTTGTTCGGGCTCCACATTTTCTCTGGTGTGGATTCTCACTTTTTAACAAGCTACCAGTGGCCTGGTTTTCCTCTTATGTGTTCCTTTGAATGCTAGCGAGCAGGGAGGTCTGCATTAATGACCTGCTGTAAAGCACACTTGTCATTCAGGTGATCTACAGCTGGGAGGGGAAGCGTGGGGGGGGGTCATCCTTCCCACCTGGACATTTAGCAAAGTTATGTGTTTTAAGTGCTGCTGACATCAAGAACATCAGAGCCCTGCTGGATCAGGGCCCAAGCCCATGAGCCCAGAGTCCTGTTCTTACAGTAGCCAACCAGGTGCCTACAGTAAGCCTGCAAGCAGGACCTGAGGGCAACAGCATCATCCCCAGGTGTGATTCCTAGCAAATAGTATTTGGAAGCATCCTACCGCCCAACAGTGGAGCTGCAACATTCCCATCATGGTTCCTTGAATATATTCAATTAAACTCAATGGGAATAATGCTTAATTTTAGTTTGATTGTTCTGTGTGTGTGTGTGTGTGTGTGTGTGTGTGTGTGGTGCTTTGCCAGACTTTAAAATCATATGTGATTTTCTCCTGGCCTTCGCTCTGTTAGTGAAACACTAACTCTCAAAACAGTGTGCTTTTGTGCTGCTGAGGGAGACTGTGGGAGGAGACCTCACAGGAGTTCCCACTCCGCTTTTCATTCTCAATGCACTTCCTGCTTTTTCTCTGGCCCAATTATTGCTTCTATGTATTTGGCACTCATTAATCTGCTGGAGCCCCTGCTATGTAATCAGTGAATGATGATAGGGTGATTTGCCTTGTGTGGTAGTAAGCTTGTTAACCATAACATAAATCTAAGCAATGGTTCCATGCCAAACAGGTTCTTTTATTAGACTCCGCATGAACTTTCCTATTAGCCAGACAATTAGCTGTCTGGAAAATGAATGGTGTTTCTCCCCCCACCCTTCTTTTCTCTATAGAACCTGTCCTTACCACTTAGTACTATCTTCATTTTTCCTTTCTGTTGTTCTTAGGCTGATGTAGTTGTGAGTAGAGATGGACAGATCATTATTTCCAGTCTGGGACAGTTTCACACGTGTTCATTCCTATGTCCGTAAGTCCGTTCAGACATGTTTCCACACTATATTTCCATTTTTAAACCACATGAAAAATCTGCACTTTATGTAAAGTATGTATCCAAAAATTACTCCTTTAACCTAAAATGCACATTTTAAAATGTATTTTGGTACTTTTCCCAACTGAGAACTGCAACACAAAAATCAGAGAAAGCTGTTGTGATCCATATATTAGTTTGGGAAGTGCTGTTAGGATTGTTTGATTTAAAATGGGGACTGAACAAAATGCACAATGATCCCTACTTGTGGTATTTAAGTTTCAAGGGAGTTCCACTTCTGTGGTATAGCAGCAACAAATCCTCCTCTTTGTGGCTTGATGATATTGGCCCGTAGGAGCCATAAAGTAGGACTGACAGCTGGCCAACATTTCATTGGCTGAGTGAGCATTTAATCCTCCTTGCCAGTTGCCAGAGTGGAAGGCAGAAAATAACTATGGTTGAATCAAGATGTGTTCACCTACAAATGGAATGGTTCCTTCCATTTGCACAAATGGCTGAGATACAGTGGAGGCCCCCACCACAAGAGGGATGGAGGTAATTTGCCCCAGTATTATCTGTTTTTTATTTGTTGGTTTCTTTATTAAATTTCTGTTCTGCACTTCCTCCCAAAAGAGTCCCCATGTCACCTCCCACATGGAGGGTCCCCCAGTCATCCACAGCAGCTTTCCTGGGGGTTTACAAACAGGGGGAATCTGCACAATTCACCTTCCTCCCCTTCAGCATGTGGACATGAGCACAACTCTGTTTATGGTTGGTTTGGATCAAACTGAATAAGCCCAGTGGTTTCATTGTAGTCGCTTCCTTCCTCCCTTCCTTCAAACAAATATGACACTCTTGTAGGAAATATTCTGCATATACATGAAGACATACTCCTTAAAATGAATTTCTTCAGGCAGGGTAGGGGGGAAGCTTCCTACAAATCTGACAGAAGACAAAAGGCACATAGTCCTTTAAAGAGAAAAAAAGTTCCCTTTAGGAAAAACTTGTGCATGTGTTGAGAGGCAGTCAGATGGAAGTACCAGGAGATAGATAGATTATAGGTAGGTAGGTAGGTAGTTATGTATGTATGTATTTAAGGAGCAAGCACTGGAAATTGTTTTGTATGAAAGGATACAAATACAGTGGTACCTCAGGTTAAGTACTTAATTCGTTCCGGAGGTCCGTTCTTAACCTGAAACTGTTCTTAACCTGAAGCACCACTTTAGCTAATGGGGCCTCCTGCTGCTGCTGCACCGCCAGAGCACGATTTCTGTTCTCATCCTGAAGCAAAGTTCTTAACCTGAGGTACTATTTCTGGGTTAGCGGAGTCTGTAACCTGAAGCGTCTGTAACCTGAAGCGTATGTAACCCGAGGTACCACTGTACTAGTTTGCATTTAATTTCTTTTTAAAGTTACTTCCCAAGTTTTTAATAAAGAGTAGAGCAGATTAAACTTTGTAAGCCAAACTCTCTTCACTTAGCCACCCCCCTCCACCACCCCAAACTTGGTGGATTTCACATCAGATTTTGGCCTAGCCTTTTCTAATTAAACAGCTAAGGAGTTCAAGTTGATGCACAGTGGTTTGTAGTGCCTAAAGCTTTTGCAGGCCATTAGAGTTTAATTGTTCATCTCGTTTAAAATCATCTCACTCAAAAGACATCTTGGCTGAGAATGAAATGGGTCATGAAACTATAAATAGGAGGTAAATTATATTTGCACGTTAACTGAAACAGGGGAAGGAAGGGAGATCTTCCAAGGCCAATAGACTCCATTACAATATCCCAATGGGAAAATTGGATTCCACAATTTTCATGTCATTGTGGAGTAACCAGTTGAAAAGAATTACTTATCTAAAGCACAGTGAGCAATTGTCCTAGACATGCACTAAAGCCTGTGATTCGGAGCAATCCCAAGAGATGAAGTCACCATTGGCAAGTTCCAACTTTTTTTTTTTAATAAATGTCTGCAGTTCTCAGCAATTAATACAAATATAGACACAGCCAATGGCACTGGAATCCACAGACGATGTCTGTTTATTGTAGACGAAAAGAGGGGTTGGTGGAGGTGGGAAAAAGCTACAATCGATGCCTCAGTTTAGGACTAATTGTACTTTTGTTCTTCCTGTGCTGATCAAAGCCAAAGTCCTTCCTATTTCAAATGTAAACACTGTTGGTGAGCTGATTTCTTAAAAGCAGAGATCAGGGCAACTATTATATTTCAAAGGCTAGTTTAAAACAAAAGACCTGGCCTGGATACGGGGGCTGTGTTTGTTCAAGAGAATAAAATGTGCATTTTGAAAGGACATTGAGTTCACTGTACATACATCTAAGCTTTGACATAATTGTCACACTTTGATTTTTTCCCCCATTTAATTTCCCTCTGACCTTTCTTTCTTTGCACCTATATGCCTGCCAACTGAGAAAAACGCTCCATGCAACTGATGATGGGTACTTCAATACCAGAAAGCTTCTGCTGTAACAAACGTGTTAGTCTTTTGAGGTAGTGTAAAAATCCTTGTTCTTTTCATGATGGCCTGCCCAATTTGAGGCAGAGTGTCTGCTCTGCATCTGATTTTCCCCACAAGCCACCCCCTAAGCATCTGGTGAATTTGTCAGAATAGACTCTGGTCTAGAAAAGCAGGCTGGCTTTCTTAATTCATTCCCACAACCAACAACCCCTTACCTGCTTCTCTGCTCAGAAAATAGGGGGTAGTAGTGAGTGGGAATGGAGTAGTAAAGGATTTAGTTAGAAGTGGTGCATAAGCATAGGAAAAGGACCGACCTTACCCACCACTTCATGATTGATGGGCCCTTAGCTAGTATATGGTATACATAGATGTATGCACACGTACATCCATGCATGAATTTATATAGATAACATATTAATGGTTTTGCACAACTGTAAAGACAGCATAGCTTTCTCTTCTCAGTACGATATGCAAGGTATTCTGCCAAACCATGGCTGATTTTACAGGTTTGGACCTTAGTAGCATTTCCAAATAAAAATTTTCATGAAATATATATTTCACTATCTATATGTAGGTTACTGGCATTCATCTTAATATTCCTTAGAACCAGATCAATGGAAGAGAACGAAGCCATTATGTGTGCACGTATTTATTAAAATAACATAAGAAACTTGCCAATATGAGTTTTTACATTTCAGTAGCACATAGAGTAATAATTGCGTGTCACCTTTTAATAATGCAAGGGACAGATACCTGTAAGGAACTAGAAAATGTCTATACCAACCTCCGAGACATTATGTAAATGTTTCTGAAATATTTTCAAGTCTTGCAAGCCTTTTAACTCTCTCATCGAATTTGGGTTTTAAAAGCACAGGGATTTTGTAGATGCCCAGGACAACCTACCTTGGGGCAGGTTTTCTGTGATCAAACATCCCAATAGATTAGCTCATAAGCTCATAAGTTTGTTTCTGCTATATAGGCTACAACAAGCCCTACAATCATGAAGGTGCAGCAGCTGATTTTAGGTGTCATGAAAGGACAGCCAATTGTTATTTACTTTATTATTATTTTACTACCAGAGGGGGGAGGCACTTGTGGGTTTTGCTGCCACCTTACATAACTGTATTTTCCCACAACACAAACTTGGGTGAACATGAAATGTTCAAAGATTTGTTCTGGGATAAATAATACCCAAGCTATGAGAAAATTGGCTGGTACAGTATAATGCTGGCTCTTCTTCCACCAGGTAGTGGCATACATAGGCACTATTTCACGGGGGTAGAGTTACATAACCCATGTATCCATACTTTGCTTCTTTCAGCATAGACTACCAAGAACCATATCAGGTAGATTAGACTGATGAAGATGGACTGATCCAGCATTATATGGTGAGCTTCTTGCCTGGACAAATATTTTAATGTTACTCTCTGGGGTCAAGGTCCAGCACTCTGGCCACTAGATCACATTGGTTCATGAGGGTAAATCACTAAATAAACAACATTCCATAATGTGCTTATTGAATTTACATGGGATAAAATTATCCCTGATCATTTGAGCTGGAATAATTTAATCACATATAAAAGATTTCTCAATGGCAGTTGCTGCTCATTCATGACTGCCCATTGCAAAGGGCTGAGCTACATGGTATCACGCCAAGGGTGTGTTTTGAGATCTGCGTCTGCTGAGGTAATTTGGAAATTGGAAGGAAAACCCTTCTCCATGCCCACTTATTCTCCGCTGAAAACATTTGCTCCACAAACAAGGTAAAGTCACAATTTGAATTACTAATTCAGAGCAAGGGGTGTGGAGGGGAAAGCTTTAAAAACAACTGTGGGAAAGTATTTGCATGGGAGAATTGGTAGGCAGGAGATGGACTATGTGTTTCTCCTCTACAAGTGTTCTCTGCATTTGTGTTATGAGCAAAACATAGGGCAGAGAACTAACTATGTATTTCTTTTCTTTTTTTTAATAATTTTTATTAACCGACCAATCAAATCAAATCAAATCACATCACATAAATTCCGAATTACAAAGCCGAATTTTAAATTTTTGTTGAGGGGACCCATATTTCAAGTTTCAAAGGGGGATTCCGATCATCTTCTTGCTACTGCGTTCATATCCAAATCAGTCCAAATAAAGTTCATAATTCTATCCAGTCTTATCTTGCTGTTTCCACATCTCATCTTATTCGTACATTTTTCTTTATGATCTCTTCTGATAATCTCCTTAAGCAGATAAACACCAATTATATCCTGTGTGGATTTTTCCGTTCGACCAATCCTCATATCGTGATGGTTTCCATATATCATCACTTTCATAAATAACATCGCTCTTTCCATCATTAATCTCAGGATCTGTCGTTTTTGAGTCCCACTGAGGAGTCTCACCCACAGTATAAAAACAGCTCTTTTCCTCCTCCCAGACTCAAGTCCTCCGACAGAGCTTACCAATATGGCGATGGTATTTTTAACTGCATCATTCCAGAGCTCTTAAACTTTCCACGCTCTTCTTAAAACATGCTTTGGTTAGAAATATTATCTCCACACAGACGTAAATCCACAGCTTAAGTCATTAAAGCGGCATTTCTGACTTGTGGGGGGGGGGTCTTGTTTTATCACATAGAGGAAAGAAAGAAAGGTTTTTTCCCCCTCCCCATCAGTCCCTTTGCCATACCAAGTCTTAGCTGTCTTCTCATGATTGATTCTTATTCTTCCGACTCGTCTTGCATATCAGAGAACTCTTCAGTTAGCAGTCTTTACTCCCCCTCCTTCCTTGAAATATGTGCATTCGCTTCTTCCTAATTGTTCCTTTTGAAGTTCTTGCAGCTAGCGGCGCGGATCAGGGACGGCGTCCAGGAGCACCGAGATCCACAGGGGGGCATTCTGCCTAGTGCCCCCATCCCCTCAAATTCGGGGGTGGTATAGGGCACAGCAGGCACGGGCAGCCCCCCCATAATCCTGGGGGGGGTAGGGAGGCTATTTACTCCCATCACAGCCTCCTAATTACCCCCTGTGGGTCAGAGAGATGTTATTGTCAGCCATCTTCCGATGCGCCCCTAGTGGCTCCTCGAGAACTAACTACATGTTTCTCTTGAAAATTCTACCTCTGTCAGTGAATATTGAAATTTTGGGTGTTCTAATTTTGTGAAGCACTATGAGGCCCAAAAACCTACAGATCAGCTCTATCATTAGAGGGATTCAGCCTGTCTATCAGAAACTGTTCAGAGATGTCACAGATGGAAATAAATTACCCTCTGTTGCTTGGGATTATAGACCTCTGTTTGCAAATAAACCAGAATATCATTACACTTTCTCTTGCTTTTCTTCAATTTAACTGTGTACATATTTGGTATGTGGGATGTGGTGCCTTTATACATTTGCTGCTAAATGATCTGTAATAGCTAATCAGATCATCATGCAGAATTGCACATGTTAATGAAGTTGGGGCTCTCACTCGAATGCCTATTACAGTAAAGCTCAATTTACCCACGCAATTCTAGTTCAATGTCATATGTATTGGATATACCTCACAATTTTCTGTGTGCCCCTTCTTCTTCTTCTCTTTATGTGCACACTCATAATGGAACTCAAGAACATATTTCTACTTCGCTCTCTCTCATCCATCAAATCCCTCCTCAAAACCCACTTCAGCACACTTTAAATATGTGTAACACAACTCACTCACCTTCTATTCCCCCTGCTTCTGCATTTTTCTCACTGCCTGGATTGTAAGCTCCTTGTGAGCAGGGACCTTTCGCTAGCGCCAGTAGTACTGTGTACAGTACTGTGCACTCTGATGATGTTATATAAATAATAACCATACCTGGCAGTAGGTAGAAATTTCACACGAGGAAATGGCTTGTAGCTGCAACTCCTGTGCCTTATTAGAAAGAAATTTATTCTGCCTTTGCAGTTCATAGAGTCACATTTGATTGGCTGAAACACCACATAGTAGCAGCCAAGGGCTTTGGAAGCTTTCCTGCCAATAAGGGGCACCTTCCTCCTCTGTTTTCCAGTCCACATGTGATAACCCCCTTGCTGCAGGCATACCTATGACTGGCTATATGCCCTCTCAATCCCTGCCCATTGTGATTCATCAAATCTAGCTAGCAGAGCCTGGATGCTTTGGTGTAGTGGGTGGTTAATGCATCTTTGTGCCAGTGATGTAGTCCCCCCTCGTCTTTTAAAGAGCCACTGGCATAGTGCTAGTCTGTGACAGCTACCGACCACTTACAAATACCCCATTTTGCAGGGCGTTGATCGAGAGGGTGGTGACATGGCAATTGCATTCTTGGAAGATGCCAACTTTTATTTGGGGAAACTTTTATTTTGGAGGCAAGCTTGGTAAAAGTAAAGCAGAGGGGAGCACAGCTGAACAACTGTAAAAAGGGGGAGGACACAAAAAGGGCAAGGGTCTGCAAAACATTATTTTGTCTCAAACAGAGCAGCTTGCCTGTGCCTTTTTATGACAGGGTGTGCAAGATAAGCAGGATACACTGTTTGCACAAAACCTTGAATTCTGCTTTGTTGGCAGAGTTAAAGGTAGTCAAGGACCCTTATAGCAAAGTGTCTGTGTACATCTACTCAGTTTTCATTTTTCTCCTAGGTTTGTTTAATTTGCTTGCCTCTTTCTGATGGAAAAATAAATAAATATGAATTATATTTCTGAATTATTAATTATGTGCAGCCTTTAGAAGACAAGCCATCACCCACCAACTCAGACTTCTTTTCTTTTTCTTTTGGAAATGGAACAGGCTTCAGACTAGTTATCTGCTATACAGAAGAAAAGGGTAAAGATATCAGTAAACTGCTAAAACTGCAAAATGCACCTATTAGAATGCTTGGGCAATGCAGTTTTAGCTTGACTCATCCAACACTAAATTCATGGAAGAACTTATCTTTTTACCTTACTGTTTTTCACAAGGGTGAATCTGGAATATTGATTCCACGTTTTTAATATATATATACTTGGATGTTGTGCATTTATTTTGTTTGCTTTTTTGTAGAAAAAAAATAAAAATGAGAGAATGAGTGATTTTATATATCAAAAACTTATATAAAAATTATAATATGAGAGGAGTAGCGTGGGTATGGGCATATATGGTGGCAAATGGGAAAGCGATTGAGTTTGTGGAGAGGTCATAAGATATGCAAGGAGATAAAAGTCCAATATCCTGGTCACCAGACACCTTAGCAAGTTCTGATGAATTTGCATGAGGGGTAGAAACCCTTTTAAAAAATACAGTTGAGCAATTTTCTTCTATCCTTGGATTCCTAAGCTATTTTCCCCTTCCTGCTTGTGCATTGCTTGCTGCAGGTATTATTTTTACTGGCCTTAGGGATATGAAGCTGTTTGACTATAAATTGTTTATGGGGCAATCTTATTTACAATGAATGCTTTTCTCATTTACTTTAATTGTTTAAATGAAATCTAATTAAGTTTGGTGGGGAAGAATGATACATGAAACAATCAGGTTGGAATGAGTTTTTCTCTCTCCAAAAATATCTGAATGTAAACAAAATCTGTCAATGTGTTCCATTACAGTAGCAGGAAATCTAAAGGGACTGTATGAGCTAGGAGTGTATTAATGTGGTTTTCGGATTCAATTTCGTTCCCAGAGAAGGAAGAAAGCAAGTGGTGGGTGGAAAGACCCAAAGAGAGTCCTCTGTGATTGGATCGGCCCCGTTACATGATCACCAAAAGAAAACAGACCTGCTTTATTTGCGTAACAGCCAAAGTGCCTGTGACCCTGAAAATGAAACGATACTAATAATATATCACCCTAACGGAAGCTTGTTGCTTTGCAAGCTAAGAGAGATGCACTGTGAGGAAAGACTGCCTTTGCCATGCAGAAGGATTCTGAGCCACACTGCGGTAAGAGTCTTTCCATAAAATGCAGCTACTGCTTCTACAAGCAGAGATGGGTTTCCTCTCTGAATTGTGTGGTGCAGTTAGGGCAGGAATATAGAGTTTAGGGCCACCACCCAGTGGGATGATCAGAGGGTGGGCGTAGTGCAATTTGAATATAATACATGCTGGTTTGTTTATTTATTTACACACGACTGTATATGCCACGTAGCTATAATCCCATTGCCATCTGAAGAGCCCACCCGCTTCCCTGTGAGAATACTAAGCCCAGAGGGTGAAATTACATACCTTCCAACACTTCTTTGATGAAATAGAGGCGTCCCATTCCATAATGATAATCTTACAATTTATACTCCACACATCTTACTGGGTTGCCCCAGCCACTCTGGGCAGCTTCCAACACATATAAAAACATAATAAAACATTAAACATTTTTTAAAAAACCTTGCCTATATAGGATTGCCTTAGACAGCTTGGGGGTCGGATAACTCCATAGCCTCCAACATTTCTCCAATGAAAAAATTGATATCCTGAGGAAAAGGGGAACATTTCGGGTACAAAATGGAAACTGGGATGGATTCTCTAAATCATAGACATCCCTGGAAAATAGGGGGGTGTCTGAAATTACCCAAGTGCACTACTGTCCAGATTTATTTGTGAAAATGGTGGGTCTAGTAAGTCTTCTTTCTCTCGTCACTTGATTCAGATAGTAACTCAGCTTGTGCACTGCACCCTCCTCTTCCTTGCAATGTTTTCTAGCTCCGTTCTTATTCAACCCCCAAGCCCTTAAGAGGACAAAATAGTCTGTGTGGGAAGAAGGTTGCTTCACACACTCTATACCCCATCCCAAGGTTGACCACCACAAGGGCCTTTAAGGTACAGTTCTCTCACCTCTTCAACCGGCTTTGCAGACAAAGATTTGTTTTTAGTTCCAGATCCTCACCCTCCACCACGAATAGTCTGGTCTGGAAGATAACGTATGGTCTTAAAGTCATATGAAGCAGCAGTTCTGGGTCTGGTCAGTGCCTGGGTAGGAGGTCGCCTGGGAAATCTGTGCTGGCTGCCCCAAGTTGCATCATAAAAAGGGAGGGATATAAGTGTAGCAAATAAATTATAAATGTATAAGAAGTCAGGAAACACCTCATCCTTCCCTAGACCCTCACTTCCCATTTCCTTTTCCAGATCCTACATACTAAACACTGGTTCCTAGCCAAGTAACCAATCTGCACCCACCTTAGCAGAATATTATTCGTTTCTTTACTTAGACCGTTTTAGACTACTTAATATATTAAATTATCTCTAAGTGGTGCATGGAAAACTAAGGTCACATTAGACAACAAGAAATTTTTACAAAAATGAACAGTTACATGGGGGGGGGATGTTGCATTAGTACATCATTACTAATGCATATAAATCAATATCAGTTCCAACTCTCCCACAAAATTTAACAAGGAATAATGATTCTACAAAACAGCTGATATCACCCTAGTCTTTTACTTTGGGCTTGCTTTTTATGAGCAGGCCCGCAGGTGCATGAAAGAACCTCAGGCTGCCCACAGCTGTGTCCTATTCATCAGTCATCTGCCGTCTTCACACAGGTACAGCAGACTTGGTGAGCTTCCTGGGGGGTCCATGTGGGTGAGAAAATGACACCCCT